CAAAACACCAAACTGTCCAGCTACCTCGTGAAGGTCTTGATGATCAAGGGCTTACAAAAGATTTTGGCAATTCCCCTTTACACCGTTTTAAAAAACCTGGTTCAAAAAACTTTCAAAATATCTTCCCACCATCTGCAACTCTTCATCTGTCCAATATCCCGTAAGTAAATTTTGTCTACTTCTGCTCACAACTGCGCTAAATAGTCTGTTGAGAGAAAAATGCAAGCTCTTTATTTTATTTTTTTATTAATATCACTATTTAAGACCCTATATCCATTTCCACAATGCTGGACACAGAGTATAAATATCAACTGTTCATGCTAATATAAAGCAAGTTGTATTCATACTGATTTCTTGTTTTTTGTTTTTTTGTGATGGTATCCAGAAGTAAATATCAAGTCGTATGTTTGTTTTGTTTGTTTATACTGCCTGTACCAATATTCAGATGTGAATTTCTTAAATATAAAGTTATAGATCTAACACTTAAAGATACATTTAATATCAAATAATGCCAATATTGTTATTAGTAAAATTATCAGTCTGTCTTTATAGAAAGCCAAAATCTATGTCTATTCAGTTATTCTATGTCTATTCAGTTATTCCCATTCATAAACTTCTTTCCATTAGGCTAAAGTATGCCCACGAGCAAGTCAGGGGCATTGCAAAGTGTATACAGTGGCACGATTTCCATTTGCAAAAATAAAGGGCAGCATCTGCACCCCAAAATAAAGTCCTTTTGGTGCTTACACTATCCAATTAAACAGGTCACATTGTATTTGATATTATTTTGCAACTTTATTGCTGTTAATCCTCAGTGTAAAATTGTGAATATGTTGAAGATATAGAAGTGTTACTAACTATGAAATTGCAGCTGTTTAATTGGTATAGCAGGTCCGCTGTTTAAGAAGAGACAAACCACAATAAGAAGTAAAGCAAGCAGAAATAGCTTTCCAGTATGCTTGGCTGGTGCCTCATTAACTATGGTCCTTCAAAAACATTTTCTAGTAATTATCTGTGAAGTAACTGCAAAAAGCAGCTGTTCGTCATCAGTGCTGTTTGTAAAGTAATGTTCTTCTTTTTAGGCAAAACATAACTGAAGAAGACTTACGTACACTGTTTACGAATACAGGTGGCACTGTGAAAGCATTTAAATTTTTTCAGTAAGTATGCTTTTTTTCCCCCCTTGATAGTTTGTTCCTTTCTAGTATAAAATTAGTTATTTACATTTTTCTCCTAACACACACAGGGATCATAAGATGGCCCTCCTTCAAATGTCTACAGTTGAAGAAGCCATCCAAGCATTGATTGACCTCCACAACTACAATATTGGCGATAACCACCATCTGAGAGTTTCTTTCTCAAAATCAACAATTTAAAAAAAGCAGAGCGTCAGGGTTTATTGCATTGTTAAGTGTATTGTCACCAATGGACTGTTCAGGAAAGTTGGGACCAGAGTCTTTGTTTTTCATTCTGTTATCATTCCTTAGTTCATGAAATTACATAATTCTGTTTAAAAAGCGGTTAAATTTAACTGCATTTATTTCCAAGATCAGTAGGGATGCCAATTTGTTAAACATTTTAAGGTTCAGGTTTTTTTTTTTGGTTTTTTTTATTGTTTGTTTTGATTTGTGTAAATACATGGACATGTGCCTTACAGAATTAGTATGATTTCTAAAATGTTAACTTTTAGAATATCTGTGAATTACAATGTTCAAGGCACATTGTTACATGTGAGTTTAAACATTTTGCACCAGGAGGTGTGTAAAAAGGTTAAGCTTTGGTTCCTCCTCCTTAGAACTTCTCAGTCATTGGCCTTTCAACTTTCTATATCATTCTATTTTATTTGTGGGTCTTTTAAGCATAAAATGCATTTGTGAGGAGGTTTTTTTTTTCTTTTTTTTTTATCCATCATCGGCCTTGATAGTTCTGTTCTCTTTTGAATTCTGCATGAATTCAATATGAAGTTTTTTTTGTTTTTGTTTTGTTTTTCTTTTTTCTTAAAGAAAACAAAATCCCTAGAAGTCTCAGATATGTGGAAAGCATTGTAGAATCTTAACCTTTTTGTACACACTCTTGTGAAACGTATCATTTAAATGTTGGCACTAAAGTAATGTCTTGTTCGTGGCTGATATTTTCTGTAGTTTTTGAAGTTGACATGACTGATGTGCATTTATCTATATCTTGCCATCTTTTCGTTTGTAATTATTGTTGGAAATATAGTTGTGGATTTCTGAGCATGTACAGACTGGTCTAGCAATTTTCAGTAACTGGTGCATGTATCTTACAATGATAAGGAGAGCCTATGACAATAGAATAATTTGTGGCAGTTTTTTTTTTAAACTGACAACCAGGTGGGACCAAAGTTTATGTGCCTTTAGTCTTAATTTACCTTGCATTGTAATATTCTGTTTTAATAAATCTCTTCAAAAATATTTTATATTTAGAAACAGACCAGACTAAACACATGGCTCAGAATCTACAAGTTGCAATCTGTGAACAGTTCACTTGCCAGGTTAGCTGTTGGCTCGATTCTGTAAGGACAAGTACATTTTTTAAATGAATGTATTTGGCCTCATAATCCATAGATTCTGTTATCTATGTAGAAAGAAAATGGTCATGTATATTTTCTATTAGTTGAGTTTTTACATCCTTAGAAATGTAAAATTCAGTATAGTTTCAAAGCGGCACAATTAAAAATTAATTTTCTAACAAAGTTGGGAGGTTTGATGGTGGTTTGATTTCATCTTGTGTACTCTGCTTACCTCTGTAGCATGCTCAATAAACACTTCTGTAGCTCTGTACTCACCTCTTCTGTCTATCTCTGCTTCCTTTTCTTTCTACTGCTCTGTTTTCTATCTACTGTGCTTCTAAATTCATATTTCTCTGTCAGGGTGGGAAAAATCTATTTTTGGAAAGTCTTTGTTAATTTTCAGCTTAAGTGCAAAATCGTGGCATTTAAAACCATTTCATTGGCAGACTCCCACACTGCTTCAAAACAGTAGTGGTTGGGTTAAACAATACCATGCACAAAATATTTCCCACCCTGTTTAAATCTATTGCTTTTACAGACATTACTTTTATTACAGCTTGTTTGTTTCTCTCTATTTGGTAGTCTCTTGAATATCTACAGTAATAGATCTTCTTGGTATGTCATTCTCTTTTGCTACAACTTCATTGTCATTCTTTATGTCTCCCTAGTATCCTTTAATAACACAACCAAAACAAATGAGGCAATACACACACTATGGTTTTTAATATAAATATTACCATGGTTTGAGAAACCATGTTTAACGTGTTTTGTATAAACAACAAAGTATTCATTTCGAAGACATAAATCAAGATAAAAAAAGTTTCTTTGTTATATTATCCATTGATTGCTTAGTTAACATTTGCCTGAAATATCCCATTTTAAGTATGTAGCATTTGAAAACAGTTTTTATGACCTTGTCATCCAAAGAAGAATTGATTCGGTTTCCCTGTCTCTGGGCAAATTACAATTCTCTAAAAATCAGAAATGAATGTATCTGCATTAGTTTGGACTGTACTCTTGATTATAGAGAACCAGTCTTTTCTCAGTAGCTAGAAAGTTTAATTAAATGGTGATGCTCCTTTAAAAGAACAGTTTAGCCACCATACCAATAAAGTTGCAGTATCAAGAAAAAGGTATGTATCTTTTCAATCCGATTTTATGAATGGGAATTCACTGATTGGGTGAGAGTGTCAGCTGACTGTTCTCAGCCAATCAGTGAGGCCACAGCCGATTCTGCAAGAGCCTTCCAGTTTAGAGATTTTTAGAAAACTGAGATGCAGGGAGATTCTGCACTGGAAAAAAGACTGGGTTTAAACATTTTGTGCCAAAAGAACTGTTGATCGTATATATAAAAAAAAATTCAAATCTGCTCCAATACACTTTGTGATTGAAGACAATTTAAAAAAAAAATGTTTTTGTGTTTGTTTATATGCATGGAAAGTTTAACTTACCCTTACATTAACAATTTTTTTAAAACATTTTTTGAAGGGCTTTCAAAGTTTTCACATTATATTCAAATTACTCATATTTGGTGGTTTAGAATTTAGTTTTTTTTATATGACAACTAGAATGTATGTCATAAGGTAGTTGTGAATAGCCAACTTGCAGAGGCATGCAGAAACAAACTGCAACTGACTAAATAGTAAAATTATGCAGTATGTTGAGGGAAGGTGCAACCGTGATCTTTATGGCAAATTATTATTTGCATCTCAACCATCAATAAATAAATTGTAAAGACTTATGAAAACATTTCGGATAAACTGGTATTCATCCATGTGGCATTTTCAGTTTGGATACATTTCGCTCCAGAGGTCGTTTTGGGGGGAAATGATTCGGACGAATCATAAAGGTGTGAAAATTTGCCTATTAGTGTGCTGCAATGCAAAAACTGCTGCAGTATTGTCAAGACTAATGGTTACTCAATATGAGATATTTTTGCAGTTGTCATAATAATATATTGAATAAAAAAAAAATGGTATAAGTGAGAGAACTTAGGCCTTAATTGAATGTTGTTGCATAAGCTCTCCAAATGATTTATTACTTTTGCATAAACTTTTAAAATTATTTCATATTATGAAAAATATTATATCTTTTTATATTGATATATTTTATATATCCAATCAACGCTTTCCCACTTGTTGAGTTTGTAGTGTGAGTGACAGTCCTTCAGTGTGGGGGAATTGCGTGTGCAGATGTATCAACTAAAGTCACACTGCAAGACTCAGCCAGGCATTTTAAAAAAGGAGGAACACTGTCAGCATGTCTTTTAAAAAGTAACTTTTTTTTAATTTTTTTAAAGTAAGTACGCTGTAAAATAAAGAGAACTGACATGGAATCTAGTTGGCAAAGATCTCCTCACTGCCACATCACTCCTTCCCTGTCCGTGTTCCTATCAAATGCTTCTCATGAATTTAGCGCTGGACAAAGATCTCCTCGCTGCCTGCCAACATCTCCTTCCCTCTTCATGTTACCATCAAATGCTTCTCATGAATTAACATTAAACAGTCTATAATAGAGTCAAATGTGTAAGTAGCCTGCAGGTCAAATATATCTGCTTGAAATACTGCACAGATTCCTTCCTCATGCAGAATGTGGTGATTGGGTTTGGAGTGAGGTTTTAATCCCTCCCACCTTCTCTGGTTCTGCTTCTTCTCCCAAAACGTCTCTCTGTTGGTGTCTCCCAAGGTTCAGTCCTTGGTCCCCTACTGTTCTCCATCTATACTGCCTCCCTTGGTAAACTCATTAGCTCCTTTGGCTTCCAATATCATTTCTATGCGGATGACACGCAAATCTATCTGTCCCCTCCTGATCTCTCCCCGTCCTTCTTGACTAGTGTCTCTGACTGCCTCTCTGCTATTTCTAACTGGATGGCTGCCCACTTCCTTAAACTCAACTTGACCAAAACTGAAATTCTGGTCTTTCCTCCCTTAAGTGTTGCTACTCCTGTGTCTGTCTCCCTCCAAGTCAACGGTGCTACCATCAGCTCCACCACGCAGGCTCGTTGCCTAGGTGTTCTCTTGACTACGACCTCTCCTTCACCCCTCATGTTCAGTCTATCTTTAAATCCTGCCACTCCCATCTCAAAAACATTGCGCGCATCTGGCCCTACTTAACGCCACATGCGACTAAGGTGCTGATCCATTCCACTGTCCTTTCTTGCCTTGACTACTGTTATCCGCTTTTCAGTGGTCTTATGTGCTCCCAACTTGCACCGTTACAGTCCATAATGAATGCGGCGAGGCTCATCTTCCTGTCCGCCCGCACCTCCCACGCCTCACCCTTCTGTCAGTTCCTACATTGGCTTCCTGTAAGATATAGGGCTCAATTTAGAAATTTGGATTCTTGCTTTCAAATCTCTACATGCTGCTGCTCCCACCTATCTATCCTCCCTAATACACAAGTATGTCCTGTCTAGGCCCTTACACTCTGCTGAAGACTTACTGAAGATGCTCGCCTTCAAGACTACCCGAGGGCTGCACCGTTCCTTTGGAACTCACTTCCTTCCTCCGTTCGATGCTCACCCAGTCTCCACTCCTTTAAAAAATCGTTAAAAACCCACTTCTTCATAAAAGCGTATCAATTAAACGGTTAATAGCTCCTGACTAATTACTCTCTTGCAACTGTCATTAGTCTAATACTTTCCTTACCTTTTGTGTCATTTTACCCCACTCCCTCTAGCATGTAAGCTCATTGAGCAGGGCCCTCAACCCCTCTGTTCCTGTGTGTCCAGCTTGTCTGGTTACAACTACATGTTTGTTCGTCTACCTACTGTAAAGCGCTGCAGAATATGTTGGCGCTATATAAATAATAACAAGGGGGTGATCTGTCCCTAACTAGCATTATTGTGGCTCAAGTTTTCTGTGACATACCTAGTCTGCCACTAGCTTCCCTATTATTGTCCAGTCATGCACCAGTAGGGGACCAAACACCTGTGTACTGCTTGTAATATACACTATGGAATGGATTACACTTTGCTTTTACAATATTCTGTATATTTTAGGACATCCTTCCACTTAAAGGGATTCTGTAGTGTAAGTAATACAAAGTTGTGATCCTTACACTATAGTTCCCTCTGCCCCCTCCCCGCCTTTCTCCTCGTAAACTCCATCCTCCCACCTGTCTTTTCCTAAACTCCACCCTGCTTCTGATATTAGATTTTAGAATCCATACAAAATCTATCAAATATCACAGCCATCCTTTTTATGTTTTCTACACATGATGATTTCCTGTTCATGTGTTTATGTAATGCAAGGTAAGGTGCTCTTTTTTATATATAATATATTAGTCAATATAAAAAAAAATTGGCTTGTTTTATGTAAACTCATTAACATGTCACATAAGCACACAATCCATCAAATGTCAAAGCTATATTTTTATATTTTCTACATATGATTTATATCTATTCAGGAGTTTATATCTACAAACTGAGATTTAGTGTTTTTTTTTCCACCTGACTCCTGATATTGGACAGAGTTTGCAAGGAGAAAGTATAGAATTTCAATGAATGACTGATGGAGTTTCAAAAGGAGAATGAAGGAATGATTGTTTGGCTTTTATTTTTTATTTTTTTAGGTGATAATGGATGTTCTTCTGTAACCACAAATTGATTCATGTGTCCATCATTAACCTGCCTCCGACAATCTTTTACGTTAACCCAGGGCTTGACAAATCCCAGGTCTCCATGGCAACTAGGAATTTTGTCCTGACGCCTGGGATTTGTCAGCCTTTCTGTCTCTCGATCTCTGCTCCCCGGGAGGAAGTGAAGGGAACTGTGTAACAACTTGCTCTCAAAGCTGAAGCCGCGCAGGGTAATGGCAAGCTGGCAGGGCACCGGGTAAAGATGTCTCTGCTTGCCGCCCACACCCATTCTGCAGAGTTGCCCGCCTCAATTCCCCTGCGCTGATTCAGCGCCGGAAGGAAGTAGTTGTTTCCTTGAGCGCAGAGAGATGCACAAGGATACACTGTACTTAGCACGTAGTGTACCATTATTTTTTTTTGTTTGCTTTTCCATTTTCTGAGACCAAGGACTCTGTAGCTTTGCTATCAACTATTCCATCTCCTATCTACAAATTCATATTCTCTCTGGAGCCTACATCCAGGCAACATTTGATTTCCCTCTCATCCCATCTTCAAACACTCTCTGAAAAGTATTTATTTTATATAAGTTAATTAATGTCAACATTCACAGACCCACTAGTTACCATATTTCTTTATGTTGACTATGCATAGAAACATGGAATGTGACAGCAAATAAGAACCATTCGACCCATCTAGTCTGCCCAATTTTCTAAATTCTCTCATTAGTCCCTGGTATTATCTTACAGCTAGTATAGCCTTATGCGTATCCTCACCCTTCACTGTGGTAACATCTAATACTTCAGCTAGAAGGCTATTCCATGCATCCACTACCGTCTCAGTAAAAATATTCCCTGATATTTTTAAACCTTTGCCCCTGTAAGTTAAGACTGTTCTCTTGTTATGGTAGTTTTTCTTCTTTTAAATATGGTCTCCTCCTTTACTGTGTTGATTCCCTTTATGTATTTAAATGTTTCTATCGTATCCCCCCATCTTGTCTTTTCTTCAAGCTATACATGTTAAGATCCTTTAATCTTTCCTTGTAAGTTTTATCCTGTAATCCATTAACCAGTTTAGTAGCCCTTCTCTGAGCTCTTTCCAAAGTATCAATATCCTTCTGGAGATACGGTCTCCAGTACTGCATACAATACTCCAAGTAAGGTCTCACCAGTGTTCTTTACAGTGGCATGAGCACTTCCCTCTTTCTACTGCCAATACCTCTCCCTATACACCCAAGCATTCTGCTAACATTTCCTGCTGCTCTATTACACTGTCTGCCTACCTTTAAGTCAGCTGAAATAATTACCCCTAAATCCCTTTCATCAGATGTGGAGGTTAGGACTCTATCAAATTTTCTATACTCCGCCCTTGGGGTTTTACATCCAAGATGCATTATCTTGCACTTATCCACATTACATGTCAGTTACCACAGCTCTGACCATTTTTCTAGTTTACCAAAATCATTTGACATTTAACTTATCCCTCCTGGAACATCAACCCTGTTACATATCTTAGTATCATCAGCAAAAACACATACCTTACTTAAAGATTGCAGTTTATTGATGAGCCTTCTATGTGCAGCAGTGTCAAAAGCCTTACTGAAATCTAGTTAAATACACAAAGAAAACTTAGGGATCCTGCTGCAGTAGCTAAAATGAAGGACATAGTGCAAATATATATACATATATATATATATATATATATATATATATATATCTAAGCTAAGTATTTTTATATATTCACACAATTCGCTGGTATTTAGGTGAATTGATCACAATTATATCTGAAATCTAGGTAAGCAATGTCTACTGCACCACCCTAAACTATTATTTTAGTTAACCAATCAAGATAATCAATAAGATAAGTTTGGAATGATCTCCCTGAAGTAAACCCATGCTGTCTCTGATATTGAAATCCATGTGATTTTAAATGTTCAACAATCCTATCCTTTAACATGGTTCCCACCACTTTCCCCACTACTGAAGTAAGGCTTACTGGCCTATAGTTGCCCGACTCCTCCCTATTACCTTTCTTGTGAATGGGCACAACGTTCGCTAACTTCCAATCTTCTGGGACTACTCCAGTTTATGGATACAAATATTAGGGTCAATCCAACTGTAGGGAAATAGAAAATAACAGTGCAGTGTATAATAATATAATAGTGATGTGTGCCAATGGATCACTCACACTTTCACTGTGAAAACAGAAATCCGTGTAGCTTTCAGGTAGTTCTCTGCTTCCAATGTCTGGTCTTCCAGATCTCAATTACATGGAAAATAAAGTATATCCAGAATGAAATGTAGAAAGATGTGCATAAAGTAAAAAAACATTTATTTCTTATACATAGGTAAGGATCAATCAGCATAAAAACAAGTGAATCTGTCCAACGCGTTTCCTCCCACAACAGGGACTTTGCAGCAGTGAGACAGTTACACAAATTAATTTTTATTTGTGTACCTTTCTCACTGCTGCAAAGTCCCTGTTGTGGGAGGAAACGCGTTGGACAGATTTTTACTTGTTTTTATGCTGATTGATCCTTACTAGTGATGTCCCGAACGGTTCGCCGCGGACTCATCATTGAGTAAACTTTGACCCTGTACCTCACAGTCAGCAGACACATTCCAGCCAATCAGCAGCAGACCCTCCCACCTCCTGGACAGCTCACTAAGAATGCAGCTTCAAAATAGATGCTGTCCTGGAGGTGGGAGGGAGGGTCTGCTGCTGATTGGCTGGAATGTGTCTGCTGACTGTGAGGTACAGGGTCAAAGTTTACTCAATGATGAGTCTATGGTGAACCGTTCGGGACATCACTAATCCTTACCTATGTGTAAGTAATAAATGCTTTTTTTACTTTATGCACATCTTTCTACATTTCATTCTGGATATACTTTATTTTCCATGTAATTGAGATCTGGAAGACCAAACATTGGAAGCAGAGAACTACCTGAAAGCTACACTAATTAAATACTACTAAGTATTGTTGGTGGAAATTGTAATATCACTAAGTGATATAGTGAAAGAGTTTGCACTTAATCTATATTTGTATTTTTTCCTCACTACTCCTGTTTATAACGATTGGTTAAATAAATCCGTTAATGGTTTTGCTAGTACACCACTAAGCCTCTTTTAATAATTTTGTGTCTATTCCATCAGGCCCCATTGACTTATTTGTCTTTACTTTTGACAGTTGAAATAGAACCTCTTCCTCTGTAAACTGACATGTAACAAATTACTCATTTGTCCTTTTTCCTAACTGAGGTCCCTTTCTTCATTTCATTCTGTAAATACTGAACAAAAATATTAATTGAGGCAGTCAGCTAGACCTTTATAATCTTCTACATACATTGCTTATTTTGTTTCCAATCTATCTAATCCTTGTTTTACTTTACGTTTCTCATTTATGTATCTGTCCCCTTTTTTTTGTTGTTGTTTTTTTTTTTGCTGACTGTGCTATTTTCTCTTCTGTGTGTGATTTGGAAGCTCTTATAACTTGCTTAGCCTTAGATCTGTCTATCTTCATCTGTGGCTTTTTTCTTATAATTACTAAATGCTAACTTTTAGTTTTTTACTATTTTGTCCACTTCTGTGGAGTACCACAGTGGTTTCTTAAATGCACTCTACATTATACACTGAATGATAGTGAACTGCAACTCAAACTGCCAAATTAGGCTAAAATATCCAAGCTGTGATTATAACTATAACTCATGCTTGTGAATCATTCCAAATTGGCTTCTAATCCTTAAATTTTACAACTCAAGTTCCAGTTTATTACAATTCATTGTTGTGCAAATAAAACTTGTCACGTTTATCTTTATTTTTGTGAATTGCATTCTATTCCTTTATTCAAAGTGTGGATCTTTTAAATACACACAATAAATTTTAGTGTGTTATTTTAAAATAGACCTTTCTGCTGGTGTGGGATCAATGTTTTTGGACCTATTAAATGTCTCTGCCTTTTATTCATAAAGGGGCATCTGACTGCAGTGGTTATGGTGCTATGGTGTCTATAGCCTGTCCTTGCAGACTGAGTGCTGTAAATGCTGCCTCTTCAGAGAAAAGGCAGTGTTTACATTAGTGCCTAGCAACACCTCTAGAAGAAATCACCGTGTGCAGCGTCTGCATGGAGGCTCGGAATGTTCCCCGTAGAGATGCACTGATTCAGTGCATCTCTATCCCGAGAAAACGATTGGCGTTGCGCAGCATTTTGATGTGCATGCTCAATAGCCTCCCAATGCTTTCCTATGGGAACACATTGGATTGGCTAAGATCATCAAGATTGATGATGCTAGCCATTGAGGTGGAGCCAGGCAAGGCGAGCCACTGCGAGACTGGCGTGGCGTGGGAAAAAAGGTAAGTAAACTCAACTTTCCCAGGTGATTGCAGGGGGGCAGGGGCCTTAATAGTTAAACACTATTATGTCTAGAATATGTTTGTAGTCCTGACACTATAGGGTTTCTTTAATTCAGCGTTTCAACACGTCAGCGGACATTTTCAGCTAATGAATTCTGTCCAAGGACCAACAGAATAAATATGCGAAAGCAGAGGATGCACATCTAATGATGTTAGTGAGCAGCTAAATGTATTCATCTAGGGAACCCAAGTAAGTGTCAAACACTTTGAAAATGAGCTGTAGTGATTATGTAGCTGTAACGGAGCTCCCTGTACCTTTGCCTGGGTCCCTCCACCAAGGACCGCTTCCTAGATGGAACAGGGGACAAACTGCAGCACTTCTGCCCACAGTCTCTGTGGCTTGACTGGGGTCCTGGAACCACTCCCTCTTGGAGCGGAATAGGGAATTTGCTCTACACACCCCCAGGCAATGGACGACAGTCTTGGGAGCTCTAGTCCTTACAAGGACTTTCCCTGTTGAATCCTCCACACTGGATCAGGGATTAAAGAGTAGCCCTCTCCCCTCCCAGTAACCAGACAACACATAGTTCTGGGAGTACAAGCTGCAATACATTTATTGGCAGCCACAACTGCCCTTATGTGCAGGTCCCCATGCAAGGGGCCCTCCCCCCTGGACTTGAGAGTAGACTACAGTAAAAACATACACACAATTACATCCAGGACACTCCCATACAAAACAAGATAATCCCTCCCCTGTGCCTGGGAGATAATTGAGTCAAGCACTGTATTAAACTCAATTATCTCCAGGTACAAAAGAGACACATTTCCCAAACACTGCAAAGTACCTTAAACATACATCCCCTGGTAGCCCCGATCTGGGTGACCAACAAATCCAAAAATCACCCAGATGGGTTCAGGAAATTCCTGGAAGTCATAATTTTACCAACCGCACGCATGGTCCCATGCCCAAAACAGTTCCAGAGAATCAGGGCTTGCGGTCGGTCTAGTTCGGTAGTTTAAAAACCGAACAAACTACCGAACATTGTCAATAGTCAATACCCTGGAGCTTGTTCGTGGGGACGTTTCCAACTAAGTGTCTTTCTCAGAGTTTGTAGAACCGAACTCAGGCGATCATGGAAGTCCAGTGGTGTTTGGGAGTTTGTGTCCGAAATTAGTTGCATAAACTTGATGACCAAACACCTCTGTATGTGTTCATGTGAACGAGATGGCCACCACCCAGACGAACACTTAGAACACTGCGGTGGAAATCAGTACAAAGTATCAATTAGACTTGACTTAAGCTCCAGGGTGGTCTCCGGGTTTGTGTGGCTGTTTGGTTTCCGAACCATATAGTCCAAATACACGAACAGAGACTTTTACATCACATTTTACAGGGTCCATAGTCTGAGGGCAGGAGTCTGGCAAGCCTCCAGGAACTCGTGGCAAACTCACTTAGAAAGGGGTGTTTGTCACAGTAGTTTAGAGTGTCCCTTTAAATTTAACTGATTTTTAAATGCATATTTTGGCAAGACCACTATAAAGAGTGCAGCTATTAAAGTTGGTGACTATTTCTAATGGGGATACCCCCTAAACTGAAATGACTACAATTTAAAGTGGACTGTCAGAATGGGAGCCCATCTTGTTTATTACACTCCTTTTAATCTGGAACAACTTTGAAGATCTGAATAAAATAGTTGCTTTGGAACGCTGTTTATAAGTTGAGTGATTAAAACTATTTTAAAATGTAAATTCAGGAAGGCGACTGAAAATATTCTAGTCCTTCAAACCTAACCTTTTTCTTTCCCCTCAAAATGTGCAGACTACAAACAACATGCAAATAAAATATGAGAGATAATGAGAACCACTGGAAAAAATGTGGTTACTAAGTAATACAGTATGTGTTTATTATTCATCAAGTGCCGGCATATGTAGCACTATCTGAAATATTGTGTAGTGATACAAATGAAACTGATCATGACTTACAAAGTGAACTAAAATTGAGGATGGTCTCGCTTGAAAGAATTTAAATTCTATCTTGAAAGTACAAGTACACAAAAGGTATGCATACAAATGAAAGGAAGAGAGATTATTATCCAAAGTAAAATCTGATTTGGCAGTGTAGCTGTAGAATAGGAATAGTAGATAGGGTGATCCAGTCTACATTAGTAATTTGAAGTTTATTGAAACTTAAATTTACTGCAGGCACTGTAATAGTTTTGTATATAATACAAAAGAACAATCGCTTTTTGCCCATAAAACAAAATGTGAATATACAACACTTATCTCAATAGACAGTGGTGACAGTTTCCTCCAGGGATATCCCAGCAATAATCCCTCCAATACAGAATAGATATATACAAAATGAGGATACAGCTGTAGATCTATAAAAAATATATTTAATATATAAAAATATTTTTTGTAGATCTACAGCTGTATCCTCATTTTGTATGTATCTATACTGTTTTATAGTTTTATCTCATTGAAGTGGTGATATTGTCTGGAGTCCTGTGGAACAATCCTTTCAATTTGTGTTAAAACATTTTACTTTAAAAAAAATAATGCTAAACGAAAGACCTCAGCAGCGTATCACCTCTGTCCTGCTCTGACCAATAAGGAATCATTATTTAAACTTCAATGGGTGGCTATGATCATCTGAGAGTGTTAACTGACTGCTTTCAGCCTATCAATGTGCATGTTGCTGTAAGGAATGGTGTGGCTAGAAGTAAGCGTGTAATCTCTGCTTTAGCCGTTCCTCCAGTCCTCTGTCAAAATGCTCGAAAATGGTTGAACACTGAATAGAACAGCGTTGCCAGGGAACTCCTGGCATTATTCAATAAGATGAAATGTAGTGTGGTGTTCATTTAAATAGGGATAGCTATTGGGATGTTGGTAGGGTATTTTTATCTAATAATTCAACAGTTAATGTTTTTAAGAAATCTGTAAGTATGATTTAAAAAATAATTTAAGGAATTAATTTGCAAACTAAAAGGATTATTCACTAGTGTAAATCGTAAGGAATTCAAAGTGAATTTAATTTGTACTTTTTTTTTATTTATAATATAATTTAAAATAACCAACTTGGAAAATATTTTCAGCTATGATTTTAGATCACCTCTTTTAGCCTACATTTTGAAATACACTTTGAATTCTAGACAATACCCACTTTGTCTTGTAGGTGTAGTTCGTAGGACTTGAGACTGGTTAGGTTTGAGAAATAAAAAATAATTAGTATGAGCTATATGTAATAATTTGTATGAGTATATGAGAGTGATATGTTTGGGTAGCTGTTAGTGACATGTGTCAATGCGTGAGTAGCTGTAAGATAATAGTATTGTGTGTGTGTAGCTGTGTGGGTAGATGACAAGACAAAAAGGATTTGGAATGTTATAGACAAACAGGGCAACAACGTGCAATGTCAACTGGCATTTGCTAATGCCAGTAACATATTGTAAGGTATTATAAATAAGGGCATTATTTCCCAGGATGGAAATATAATTTTGCCTCTTTATAAATCACTAGTAAAACACCTTGAATATGCTGTGCAATTTAGTGTATCTGTTTTAAAGAATTATACTATTGCGCTACACAAAGTGCAGAGGCGGGCTACAAAATATATTTAATTTAATTTTAAACTTGTCTAATTTTTCAGACAGCCCCCCGGCTGGAAGATCCACAGCCAGCTATAGGGGGCCATGTGATCGCTCTTTGAACCCTTTAAAGCCGTAACGGCGTTAAGGGGTTAATAAACAGGTCTATACATAGGACACAAGGTCACGCATTTAGACTGGAAGAATATAGAAAATTGTTTCATACTTACAGTAATTTTCTTTTCCTGATTATACATGACAGCATTGTGGCAAACCTAGCCACTTGGAAATTATACAGAGACTGTGGCTTTAAGGGTTGCCTGTATGGTTGTGGTGATATGTATGTTCCTGGGTGTAATGTATGCTGACTGTATAACATTGTATTGCCTGCATTGGTTATCTGCCGAAAGCAGATAGCTGTTTTTCATTTCGTTTCACGAACGGCACCTTTGCGGGCCGTTTGTGAACCGAATAAACCACCCTGTAATAGCCCACACATTAAGAGACGTGTGGCGCTTGTTAACCGATCGCAACAATGTTGCAATCGGTAATTAGAGGCTCTCCTAGGTGGCAGTCGTTCGACTACCGACCATGCGGCGGTCGGCCATCTTGGATCCTTTGTTCCTCCAGCGGTGTTTGGTCGTCGAGCCGTGGTACTAAAAACGGCTACTCGACGGCGCAAACACAGCTGGACTTCCAGGCCGTTCGGGAGTTCCGGGCCGTACAGTATTTTATTCCCCATATGCCAATCGGTCTTTTGAATGCATGTTTTGGTGAATATGTTTTTCGTGCTGCGTTCGGTTGTTTTAGCTGGGATCTGAGCGGTAATCTCACGAATGATGCGCTCAGACCCCAGCTATCT